GACCAAAATTCATTATGATTAACTAAAAATTATGTAAAATCATTAAAAATTTAAAATGTTCATCATAAAACTTTTTCAACATACATGAGCTGAAAAACAAAACATAGCCATTTAAGATCAAAACTCATGCATGCTTAAAACTAAATGAGCAACCAAATAATCAAAATCAAAAGCATTAAGCTTAGAGGTTACCCATTCATTTTCAAGTGTTCCTAGAGCATCTCAATTTCTTCATTTTCATCACCATTGCTCCCACACACCTACAAGAGACATTTATTTGGATTTTGGTATCGAAATTTCTTTAGATCCTTGGACGTTAGTTTCAATGCCCCTTGTTCCCTTAAGAACTCATACTTGTCTAATTTTAAAAGATTTTATTTTCTTTATGGGACAAGTATGTTCCAAATGACTATAAAAATGACAATGTGAGCATTTCCATTTTTAAACATAATGAGTTGTTTTGAGAAATTAATTCTTTTTCTTTTGTTAAGCTCTCAAGCTTAACTTTCAAATCAAAAATTTTCTTTTTCTAAATCATTGATTTTGACTTTTGAAAGCTCTAAATCATTTTGCGAAATTTCATTTTGATTTTCAAAATCAACTTTGGCTTTCAAAATCAAATCAATTTTAACTTTAAATTTTGAAATCATTTTCTTATATTTGGAATTCATGGTCTCAAACTCCAAATACAACTCATTATAAGCATCTTGTAACTCATCAAAAGAATGTGAATTTAAATGATTAGAGTTAGAAAATACCATTGAATCTCTTTCGATGGCCATGAGGCATAGGTTGACAACTTCATCTTCATTATTGGAGTCATTTTCATCACTCTAAGCCACCACAAATGCCTTTTTCTTGCTTGATCCCTTCTTCTTTAGGAGAGGACATTCATACTTGACATGCCCCGTTCTTTGACAATTGAAGCACACCGGGGGACCCTTTTTCTTGGTTGATTCATGCTTTACTTCCTTGGAAGACATGAATAGCTTGAACTTTTTGAAGAGATTGGCCATCTCTTCTTCTTTATCATCTTCATCCACCACTTCACTTGAATCTTGATAGCTCTAATTGGTGGACTTGAAGACAATGCCTACCTCATTCTTATTCTTCTTTTGCTTCTCTTCATCTTCTTCCTCTTCCTTTACCATCAACTCATGAGTAAGAAGACAACCAATCAACTCATCGAGAGTGAGAGACTTAAGATCTCTAGCTTTGATAATCGACGTCTTCTTCGATTGCCAAGACTTTGGAAGAGAGTAAATCATCATCCTCACAAGCTTCTCATTGAAGATTACTTCTCCAAATCTCTTGAGACCATTGACAATCACGAAAAATATATCCGCCATAGATTTGATATCTTCATCGGGTTTCATCTTGAAATTCTCGTAGCTATGGTTGAGAAGACTTATCTTGGTTTCCCTCACTTCATCGGTTCCTTCATGAATGACTTGGAGCTTATTTCATATATCATTGGCATTGGAACAAGATAAGACTCTTCCATATTCATTCATGCCTAATGCACAAAATAGAATGTGCATAACCTTAACATTGAGTTGGAACTTCTTCTTCTCTCAATCACTTCAATCGTCTATCCCGCCGGTTGGAATGGTGTAGCCTTTCATGATAGAATTCCAAGCTCCTAGATCGTTGGCTTGAATGAAGAGCATCATCCTATTCTTACAATAAGCATAATTTGCTCCATTGAAGTAGGGCGACTTGTTAACCGGTTGTGAATCTTCAATATAGTAGGCACCGGAGGTTGAAACCATTTCTTTGTCAGTTGTGTCGGGAATCGATAGATCTTCTTCGAGGATCGTCTCAAGGTGGTTAAACCTTCTAATTAGTCAAACTCTAATACCGATTGTTAGGATTTGAAGAGGCTCAATTTGAACAACCAAAAATGTGCAAAGTGGGTTTATTGACAATAATTTAATTAGAGAGTAATGAGAGCAAAAGATAGAAAAATTTGGCACAAGGATTTAAAGTGGTTCAATTTATCAACCAAGTCTACATCCACTACCTTAGCTCCTCACTAAGGATTTTCTAACAAATTCACTAATTTGATATTTCTTTCTCAAGGATAAAGAGATAACCTTTACAACTCACTATCTTTTGAATTGGCTAAGATAGAACCAAAACCCCTTTATAAAAGGTAAAAAGAAGTAAACAAATAAACCTCTCAAAGGTAGGGTGTTTATAAGAATTTAGCTCACACAAACACAATATTTACAAGAGAAATGAAAATAAGAATGAAAAATTGTTCTTTTGTGTTTGATTGCTTGAAAAGATTTTTCTAACCTTTCTTCAAGTGTCCTGAACTTGTATTTATATGTTGGAATGTTTTTGTGACCGTTTGTAGCTGTTGGGAGTGTTTTGGAGCCGTTGGGGATCAAATTTCTTACAAAATAAAGCTGCCCAGAACAGAGGGTATCGTAACTCCTAAAGGGAGTATCAGTACTACCTTTTTTATATTTAAATCAACTAGCCTTTACTAGCTGTTGGGACCTGATAGTATCGATACCATGCTCATGGTATCGATACTACTATGTAGAGTAGTATTGGTACCTCTTTGGGTATCGATACCATTTTTGAATTCTAGAATTTGAGCAATGCTGGTAGTATTGATACTACTTAGTGAGTATCAATACTTCCCTTACCTTTGGTATCAGTACCATACGAACAATATCGATACTGTTCATGAGATATCGATATTGTAAGAACAATATCGATACTACTTGTCTAGAAAAACGTTTTGTGCTCAATTCCAAGCTTTTAAATGGACTTTGAATTATTTTTGAAAACTTTGAATAAATTAAATTCAAGTCCAAAAACATTTTTCCTTAATTGTTATATCAAAATATAGTTCAACATAAAGCCCATAGTATATAATATGAGAGTTGAGAGTATAATTGGCATGCCAAGAGTCGAGGGTTCTATGCGGTCCTTCGGGACAATTCTGCGTGATCCTTCGGGACATTTCTACGCGGTCCTTCGGGACATTCTATATGGAACTTCGGTGCATTTTATATGAGCTGTGGTGACAACATTTGTGCATCATCACAATGCACTCACATATCTTTAGTTCTCAGTAATGTACCATGGGCTACTAAAGGAGAGAACATGAATTAACATTGCATGATGGAATAAGTTATTATTGGTTAAATACATGATGAGGTATGTTATTGTTGATTAGATATAGGATGATTTCTGTACATTATGAAAACGTGTGGTTACATGTTTTCATTATTTAATTATTGAATTATATGTCTCACTAAGTATGTGACTTAGCGTGTGAGTGTTTCACACGTAGGTTCAAAGAAACAAGAAGATCCGAGCTAGGACCAATCAACAAGACAATATATCTCAACCGAAAACCAGATCAAAATTTATTAAGCTGTATGTACTTGTGTTATATGATATTTCGTTGGCATGTAAGTGAAAAGTTTATATCAAATGTGCTTTGATCGATTTTGTAAACCTTTTTGATTATATTTATGTAAATTATTCAGCTTTATTTTAATGAAAGTTTAAATTTTCAACTATCTTGTAAAAGAAAATAATTTGAAAAGTCAATGTGACACCTCGAATTTGTATCCGGGTCAGATATGGGTTAGGGGTGTTACACCTTAAACTTTTGAACATTCTAATTTCATCACTAAACTATGACTATCTTTCTAAATTCATCCCCAAACTTTTGAATATTCTAATTTTATCCCCAAATTCATCCAAATATGTAATTTGTTTCGACCATAGGTTAACCTAAAATTTGTTTTTTTTCAAACAAATAATAATATAACTAGGCATAATAATTTTATTAAGAAAGGATATGTTTACTATATGCGTATAGTTTGGGATGGAATTGGAATATTTAGAAAGTTTGGGGACTAATTTAGATTGAAGGTTTATAGTTTGGCGATGAAATTAAAATGCTAAAAATTATAAGGACTAATTTATAATGATAGCCATAGTTTAGGGATGAAATTTAAATATTTAAAAGTTTAAGGACTAATTTAAAATAAGTGTCATACTCTGAGGACATATGATATAATTAACTCTTTATTTTTTGTTTCATTTTAGTATGATTTGTTGCACATGCCATTTTTATGGTAAATTACATCATTCATCACTTAAATATCATCTCACTCCTATTTTGGTCACTAAAATTTAAAAGTTTCTAATTTAACTACTCAACTTCCACATTGCTCTTGTTTTAATCACTCTAATTTATTTTATTAATAATTTTTGTGACATTAAATTATTATTATTATTATATTAATATATAATTAAAATTAAATTAAATTTGAAAGTTAGAGTGATTAAATTATGAGTAATTTGAAAATTAAGTAATTAAATTAAAAAATAAACTTCAGTGAACAAAATAGGAGTGAAAAGATAGTTGAGTGATGAATAATGTAATTTACCCATAAAAAATGTCATGTTGTAACCGTTCCGTTAAGTTTTTAACGACAAATTACCAAAACGAAACAAAAAGTAAATATTAGGTTTGATTTTGAAACAAATGAAAGGTTATGTGCTAAACTTATAGTGTACCCATTATAATATCTTTTATTATATATATACACGTGATCTGTTACAGACTTACATTGTCCAATTGTTAAACAACTTTCTCAAGTTACAATTTTTTAGTAAATTTTGGTTAAATTCAATATAAAATAGAGAAATATTATAAAAATATATATGAGACATCAAATCCATACGTTTACAGTGTTTTTCTTATAATATATTTTGAAAAAATCAAAACTCATTCCTAAATCCTCGTGATCAAAGATATTAATGCAATCTCTTATCTTGATTCTGGACTCCTGATTCCTATAAAAAGATATATTAAATCGTTTTATTTGTTGTTTCTTCTTCTAATGCTTTGTGGCTTTCCATTAACAAGCATTGTCTTTATATATAGGAATCCTGGGTAGAAGCTTCATCAAATATCTCTCAGGTTCTTCTCACATAAAGCCTTTCGTTTTCCTTTTTATTTTTATCTTTTCAAATCCTGGAACGAGATCCTTACGAATTAAGCGAATTTTGGTTTGATTGATGGAAACAGAAGATTGTAGAGAGCGGCAAATGGCGATCGAGTACGAACCAATCAAGGGATACGCTAATGATTCGGAGGGTTCCGTTTATGCGCAAGACAAGTATTTGGGCATTGGTATTGATATAGACAATGCAGAGAAAATCCAAGATGATGATGAGAAGAAATTGAGTCAGTTGGCTATTCAGATCTCCTACCCGAACATTGTTAACAGAGGTGAAGAAAGTCCCTTAGTCCCCACTTCCACCTCAACAAACCTTCCTCTCCACCGCCAACAGCCGCCGCAGCGGCTCGTTTCCTTGGACGTTTTCCGGGGGCTCACCATTGCGGTAATATCTCCTCTCTCTTTTTTACCTATCTCCGCAGTTCTCGATTTTTACTGCTTGACCTTTTGCTTTCTACGGTACACGCGTAAAGGCAGTAGAACACGAGATGTAGTGGTAATTATTTCTTAATTTTTAGTTAACACAACCTCGGTTCGTCCTCCATAAATTTGCATTGAAAATATATTTTGTATTATTCTTATAACACTAATTTAGATGATGATTTCATTATAAATTATTAATGCGTTCATCCGTTAGACGTGCTTTCAGTTATTGATTTATGCTTATCAAGGTTATATTTCTCACAAATTTAATAATAAAAAAAAGCCACTTTAAAAAGTAACTTTTTGATCTTTCATATAAAATAGTTTTCATTGCTTTTTAAATGGAAATATCTCCATCAAGAGGTGCTAGGTCGGTTGAGATTTTTCCATTAGATTATAGCAAATTTAATTTGATCCGGATAAATGCATTTAGTATTTTTCCATTTTTCTTTCGTTGACTCGTAGTTGGGCTAGAATCTTAACATAGTTGAAGATTTTCCCTTTTTTTAATGTATTTCGTTAATTATTATCTATCATTATTTTTTGACCAATTATTATCTATCTATATGTTAAAATCTGAAATTTGCTGTCATTGGTTATATCAGGCACCAATTTAGTTAAAAATGACAAATTTTTAATGGTATTTTTATCTTTTTATTTTTATATACTTTAATTAAAATAAATTTAAAATGACTATTTAAGATTTGAACATGAAAATAATAGATCTAAATACAAATCATTTATTACTCTCTATATTTGGTGAGTAAACTTTGATAAAATATTTTGTATATAAAATATTTTCTTTCACTCAGAGTCTGGGTGATAGAATCTCGTTATTAAAAATAATAATAATAATGATAATTTTGTAGTAAATGCAGAAAGTGTCAACTTTCTTTTATCTGTGTCCTTTTTTTAAGAGAAAAGATGGTAAACAAAAAACGCTAAAGAAAGAGAACGTCCATTCTTTTCATGGGCATGGATGCCATATCATTTTGGCCTTTTGGGATATTGTTCACCCGAATCCCATGTACGTTTTCTTATTAGTTGGTTGTCTAGCTGCTCTGTTATCTTTCTTTCCATCTTTCCATCACGTCTGAATGAAGCATCCCTTCTGAATGAATCTGATTCCTTTCCTTCCATTTTAAGCATCCCTTCCGAATGAATCTGATTCCTTTCCTCGCATTACACCTTTTCCAATGCAGTATAACAAGATAATTTTCCAATAATTTTTTTCAGTTAATTATTATGTATATGCAGGTAATTCAAATATATTAATATTCACATGTTCAAGAAATATAAAATCAGCATGGAAATCATAATGTGATATTGTCATAAGGTATAGTCGTGCATGTATCATTGACTATACATACACTGATTTTTCTTACCGGAAAATATCATAGTAATAACAGTTTATTGTGGAGCAAGATTGGGTATGTTTGTGTTGTGTCTAATTTTCTTGAGACCGTTGGAGTACTTGTTTACCCCGCATTGACACATGGACATAAATCGTAATGATTTTGATTGGCAACTATTAGCTCATGGGACATGGCAATGGAGAAGCTTGTTTATTTATTTATTTTTGATAGAAAGCTTGTTTATTTTATTATTACCATTATTGTGATTCCACTTTTTACTGTTATTTTGTTGCCCAAAATTCAGTTTTAACTTACAAGGAGTTAGAGCCTGGAAGACATGAAAGATACAAAACAAAAAGTTTCCATTATTACTATATTACCCTGTTTGGAGTGAGTATTCAATATGATTATGTGCCCAAAACTGATATACTACACCTTTTGAAGTGTTTGGAGGATCAAACACTAGTAACTTAGAAAAAAGAATGAAGAGTTTGGGTAGCAAAACTATTTTATATAGATTTATCATGTGTTTTTTATTTTTCAATTAGTGGAGGTTCTAGATAAAGAATCTAAATTTTCTAGAGCATGTGATTTTTCTAAAATTCTCGTGTGTTTAGACCCTTTCAACTATATAATGCATTATAACCTTAATGTATAAATCATAAGTTTGTAATTGATACATGTGTCCTTAACATGGTATGATCAAGGTATAGCATCTAATATTTATTCCTAAAAGCCTCTGATATGTTTTGTATTTTTTCTATCCATCCGCCCCCTATCTCTGTTCTCTGGATATTTGGGGCAATGTAATGTTCTTCAATCCTTCCTGAGATTGCAATTTTATTCTACACTTGGATTCATTAAATATGAAATTTTATCATTTCCTATCAGTTTAAGGTTAAGTATTTTGGATGATTAATCACCAAATTGACTCTTCAACAGTATGAATCAGTAAAGAACGTGAATTAAGATGGTGCCTTTCGGTTAGGGACTGTAGGATGTTTGAACTTCAAACTGATTCTAATATATAAGATGTCTTCCTTGTTAAAAGGAAACCTTTCAGACCATTCAAGAAAATCATGATGTATATTCTATCTCAAAATGTTAATGTCAATATCTGTTATAAGCTTTTCAGTATTCGTACAAATTTTCATTTCATTTTATTTTCTTGATTTCAGCATTGTGTTGTTTCATCAGTTTGGATATGCTCTGATTATTCTAAATAAATATGTTTTCTTATTTTATTTTTTTCCGCAGCTAATGATACTTGTAGACGATGTTGGTGGCCTTCTTCCAGCTATCAATCATTCACCATGGAATGGTTTAACCCTTGCAGATTATGTCATGCCATTTTTCCTCTTCATAGTTGGTGTTTCACTAGGACTGACATACAAGGTACTGCTTGCATCTCGAATGTATCGTTTTTGAAGAACATTTTTTATACCTGTAAAATGAGATTAATGGATCTTGCCATTTTCATGCTCTGTTAGAAAGCAGAAATACTTCTATATCACTGTTTATTCTTTGCACAGAGAGTGTCTTGCAGAGTTACTGCAACTAGAAAGGCAATATTGCGGGCGCTGAAGCTTCTGATTTTAGGCCTTTTTTTACAAGGTATCTCTTTATTTCTTTAACCCTGTACAACATATCAATATATCATGGCTGATGGATATATGTATGCATTTTCGTACCACACTTCTAGGGCAGACCTCTAACATGAAATGATTAGTGTGTTTGAGTAGTCTGATGATTAATGTATCACATGCGTATTTATTTTGTTAATTTCGAATACAGTTTTGTCTCATAATCTGTAATTTTTTTATCACTAACAGGAGGCTTCTTCCATGGGATCAAGAATTTAACATATGGGATTGATATTGATCAAATGAGGCTGATGGGAATACTGCAGGTGTGCTTTCTCACAAGTTCATTTTTTTTCTATGAATGGTAGAATAATGAATGAAAGTGTTCCATGGTTGCTTCTTAGTTTCTCCTTAATGTACAGTATGCTAAGCAAATTAACTGTTACAAGTTGGTTTTTTAGGTGCTTTATTACAGCATTAGTCCATTATTTCTCAAACATCTTAGCAAGTTTGAGGTGGAAATGTTTTAGGATCGAAATGGGCTGAAATTTAGTTGTGCAGTTATAAGTAATGCTAATTATTTACTATATGATAATATATTGTTCTCTTTTGCTTTTTCCCGGCCCTCCTTCCCAGAGAATTGCAATAGCATACTTAGTAGCTGCATTGTGCGAGATTTGGCTGAAGGGTGATAATCATGCAACTTCACAGTTAGCTCTGCTGAGAAAGTATCAATTTCAGTGGTAATTGTTTTTTAAGCCTATGGTAACTCATTTTTATTCTGACATGCATATATACCAATTACCATTTACATCCGAGCAGAGCTTCATTATGCAGTATTTTTTAAGAACTTAGTTTAATCCTTTTACTCGATATGTGGAAAGATAAGCTTCAAGTTCTTTATTCTCCATTTTTGTCTCTCATGCCAAAGGTTCATTTCTTTTTCACCAATGCTTTTTAAAATTACATTCTCATTGTTCTTTCCTAGCTCAAATTGTTAACCAATGTGCTGTCTCTCTTTCTCACTCTCAGGCTTGCTGCTTCTGTGCTTGCTGTCATATACATTTCCTTGTTATATGGCTTGTACGTACCCACTTGGCAATATCAGATTCCAGATTCAACTTCTTCCTCGGCACCAAAGATTCTTTCAGTTAGTTCCTCTTTCCTTTGTGAAATTGTCTTGCATTTGACTATAACATACTTTGACAAAAGGAACAAGTCACTTAGCTCAGGTTGTCTTGTCCATTTCCATTCAAAGGTGAATTGTGGAGTACGTGGTGACACTGGACCAGCTTGTAATGTGATTGGAATGATTGATCGTAAAATACTTGGTATTCAACATTTGTACAGGAAACCTGTATTTGAAAGAACAAAGGTGCGCTCTCCAGCCAAAGCTTGTTTCAGTTGCTTATTTGCATCATGTACTGCCCTTAGCCCATTAATTTCAGTTTTTTGTACTCTTTCCCCATTTCAATAGCAATGCAGCATTAACTCACCTGATAATGGCCCATTACCTTTTGATGCCCCTACTTGGTGCCAAGCCCCTTTTGAACCAGAAGGACTTCTGAGGTTTGTTTACAGTATCTTCCTCGCCTTCTGAAATGCATTTTTCACCATATCTTAAATTTCCTGGGAATCTAAGATAATATGTTCTATCCTTTTGTCCAAATAAGTAGTATTTGATAAGAGTAACAATGAATCATGTGCACTATTGTAAAACCACATTTCATAAGCAAACACGAGGTCAAAAAGGTATGGGCTACAATTTTCAGTGTTCTTCAGTTTTGTACTTATGGATGACCTTGTATGCTCTACTTGTAGTTCAGTGATGGCAGTTGTGACCTGCTTGGTCGGTTTACATTATGGGCATATGATTGTCCACTTTAAGGTGACAATTTCATTTCCATTTATTGCTTTTCATTTCTCACTAGAAACTTATCAATGATTAGTGTTTAAAATGTAGGATCACCGTGATCGAATTCGTCTGTGGCTAATTCCATCTTCAGCTTTTCTAGTCTTGGGGCTTGCCTTGGACATTTTTGGTAAATGGTTTTTTTAATACTCTAGCAGCAGTTAGCATCTGCATTAGTAGCACTCTGTCAGTGGTCTCATCATCAGGCTATTTGCTTTCTTGTTGTAGGAATGCATATTAACAAGGCTCTTTACACATTCAGTTACATGTGTGTTACTGCTGGTGCTGCTGGCTTTCTCTTTGCCGGAATCTATCTACTGGTATATCAATGAATCCTTTTCACATCTATTGTAATTATGCCAATTTACTTAGATAGTCTTTGTTTCATCTAACTGCGATGGTGGAAAAACACAAAGTGAATTCATTTTCCCAACTTATAAAAATTAAAGAAACTTTGAAACAGGTTGACATCTATGGATATCGACGCATGGCATCAGTGTTGGAGTGGATGGGAAAGCATGCATTGATAATATACATCCTTGCAGCCTGCAACATCATTCCAATCATCATACAGGGATTCTATTGGAAGCAACCCCAAAATAACATTGTAAGTTGTGTGTATAAGCTTCTCTGCCATTTCATTACTGCTTTCAATTTCGACTAGCCTACTCGATGTTTTGCAACCTAACATAGCCTTGATTGAACTTGTACTACTATCCAGCTTAGCTTAATTGGAATTGGAAGATGAAGTGACCATTCTGTTGCAGTCCATGGAAATATTGGTTTTTTCTCTACCTCTTTTATCAACTTCCTACTGTGATTCTCTCTCTCTCTCTACTTAAGTTGACCTCAAACCGGAGTGAGAAAATAGAGGTATAGTGTAGGCAGGTGGAAAATATGTTTTGTATATCAAGAGTACTGAGCAGAGCAATGCTTTCTTGAGCATTCTACTTCCAAATATTTTAGGACAATTTGATATCATCTCTATTGATTGAAGATCTAATGATATTCTTATCATTTTGGCACTGAGAAACCAGCTTAATTGGAAATGAAAGGGTTATTTTTTTATTGCATTTATTATTACGAGAATTTACCTTTTGCCATGCTTTGGAAAATGAGTGAAATTTTGAACATATTAATTATGCTAATATATTGGGTAAAGTACACAAATGATCCATTGATTATAAAATGTTACTTTGTTGAATTTCTTAGCTATTTTGTACGTGCTCTATAGACAGAGATCATTTATGTACTTCATCTTATATATAATAGATACAATGACTTAATTTTTAAATAAGTGAATATAGAATTTAAATCGAATTACAATGATAATATAAAATATAGATAAATTAAGGCTTAGTACATATACAATACTGAAAGATACACAAAAAGTCAAATTTCATATAAAATAAATTATTAATTTGTGAATTTGGTAAAAAAATTGTTTTATTTTTAAAGCAATGAAATATCACAAATGTTACACATACATTTCTTTTTTCTTTAATCTTGATCGCTCAATCGATAGATTTAAAAAAGATGAGATGAATGTATTACGATATAATAAATTATACAAATACCACGCACCAGCAATGCTATTGATAACTATTATTTACAGAAGCTGTAACCAATATATAGAGAGGGAGGGGGTTAAATCAAAAGCCTGCCCACAAGTTTTATCAATGAATTACGCCATAGGTCTTTTTTCAAATTGGTAAACTGTAGAAGTCTCAACAACATCCATCAACTACAATTGCAATTACATACTACTGTCTAATGCTTCCTTCAGTTTCCTTCCCAATGCAAATGCCAAAGGCGGAGGAACCGCATTTCCGATCTGCCGATGCTTTTCTTGAATCTTACCAGAAAACTTGTAGCCATCTGGGAAACCCTGTAAGGAAAGGCAAGAAAACCCATTAGAACTTATACCAATGTTTTCAACTTCATTCTAGCCTTCATAAACCACAATGGCAATGAATGTTTGAACGACTTACTTGAGACCGAGCACATTCACGAACGGTCAAAATCCTGCCCTGTTCAGGATGAAAGCACATTCCAACCTTGCCCATTGGTTGAGGGTCTGTGGTGGAAGTAGGGAAGTTCCCTTCCCAATTCAACCTTCCAAATAGCCCTTTCCATTGATTGTGCCTTTTGGCTGTATTTGGTAGGCACCATGGTATTAAATCTACCAATTGTCCAGTAGAGAGTTTTACCTGTAATTTTAAGGAAACAATAATCCAGCAGTTCAACAATTTCATTCTGATTACATTTCAAATGAACAGATGCAAAGAACAGTTTGTTGATGTACCTTCTCATCTGGAAGGTCATGCCAATCTGCACCTGGTCGCTTTGGAATCTTTTGACACCGAATCAGATTAAGCTCATTCATTTCCTTTGATATATGATCGGTAAGGACAGCCATGTCTCCTCAAATTTTCTTTTGAAACCATGAGAGGGGTTCACTTTGATACTGCAGAAATAGAACTTGTAAATTGAATATGCATATAAAACTTTGATAGCATGAAGCAATTTCGAAGATATAATTTTCAATCTAGCTACCTCCAAATTTGTCTTTGAGGCCCCATTTCCTACAGCTGGCAGATCACCAATTGTATCTCTTACAGTAATTGAACGAAAAGGGGCTCCACTTGCAGTTCTTTTTACAGCTGCATACTGCAAATTATGTGATAATGTGACTTTCAACTCAGGAGCAGCAAAGACATGCATTGGCTCTGGCATTCAGGAAGTGTCTCTTCAGGGGAAGCTGCCAATATGAATGCTCGTTTTCTGGACTGGGAAACTCCATAGGCTCCAGCTTCCAAAATACCAAACCTCACCTAAACAGGCAAAGCAGAATATCACACATGACTACTCACATATTTGTATACTTACAAAAAAAGGATACATGCTATACATATATTGCTGTTAGCTGCAAGGAATATCTACCTGATAACCCATTTCAAGAAGTGAAGCCAAAGTTAACTTAAATGTCTGTCCTTTATTGAATGACACAAAGTTCCTCACATTCTCTAGGAGGAAATATTTAGGCCGGAAGTATTCCGCAAATGATAAGAATGCTAAAATCATCTCACATTGTACTTTACTCCATGTACTTTGGTTAAATCTATTCATTCCTGAGAAACCCTGCAAAGTAAGACAGGTTTGCTCTTAGTGGAACATTTATTAATTGCCCCAGAGACTAGAAGAACAAAGGAAAGATATAATATTTAATACCTGGCATGGAGGACCTCCATTGATGAAATCTACTTGCCTAGGAAGTGGCAAGTTATTAATCTCTTTCTCATCAAGTGATGCAGCTAATTCAGCTGCCTCAGAAGTGGAGATGCAGTCATCTACATCCCCACACTTCTCCATAATATCCCTGTATTACAACTTATTTTTGAGTTATTAGCATTTTGAAAGGGAACATAGGAGGAGAGCTAACTTGCCATACTGACCTAAGAATCAAATTGCAGATTTTAATGAACACCAAAGACTCAGGATGATTGAGTTTAAATGCATCTCCAGCAGGCTCTTCATATTCAATTGCCCATTTAGTTAATGATGCCCCTACATGAGTAAAAACAGAAGGTTGGACATAAAGTGCTTCGGAAATAGATACAGAGAAGCACATTAACGTTGATGAAATAGAATAAAGGCAGACAGTACCAGATTGGTGCAATCCCTCTGAAAGGCCACCACAACCTGCAAATATGTCTAACGTAGCCAAGCAGTTCTCCTGAGATGCTTCTTTTTGTTTCTCAACTTCTAACTCATTTTCTTCCTGTTTACCCTTTCCTTTTTTCTTTTGATATGCAATTTCATTATCCACAATTCCATTTGAGTACCTTAGTTTTATTTGAGCCGGTGCCAATCAAAAAACAAGGGAAGTTAATTCATCCTCAAAAGGTACAAACATTTTATACATGCAAACAAAAGTTTCCATGAAAATGATTTCATAAGTATCATTCCCAACAAGCACTACAAAAAAGGAAACAAAAGGAAATTACCTGCTTCAACGATCCCTTGGAAGGATCGTATATGCGGTCACAAAAGAAGATATGATGAAAGATTGCTGGAGCATTGCATGCTGGAAGGTCGTTCTTCTTTCTAACTTCACATTTTCCTTCTATTGCCTCAACAAACAAAACATGTGTTTCTTCACTACAATAGACCTGAAAATGAAACCATATAAATTTATTAGAACACCATAGGAAAATGTGTAAATTATATGACCATATGAAGTTTTAACTGACATCAAATTTTAAGGTAGCACCTACTCTCTTATATCAGAATTGTATGCCTTCTCAGCCGAAATGTCTTCTGGTCGGAAAAATCTCCTGACCTTAATCTGGGTGGATTCCTCTGCAACTTTTTTCTGGCCTTTTGGGACAATAATCTCCAGCACTTGACACACAACATAAGGCTTCAAGCCTATATTCCTCCCACTCTTAAAGTATTCAGTCTCAGCCCTTTCTACCGAAAATTCATGTGGGCTTATATAGACATAATCATGGAGAGAGTATTCAGTTCCCTTGTATACAAAACCTGTTTTTAATGGATTCACTATGAACATTTCTGTCCCTCTCAGCATCTTTAACTTGGCAAGAATAGCAGAATCCACAACCCAAACCCAAAGTATCAAAGGGGAGTTTAAAGAATGCACCTCTTTCAGGGTAATACAAGCTTTTACAACAATAATCCATTGGAAGTCCTTTTCTCTTCCGCTCCTCAGCTTCAGCTCTATCATGTTTGTCCAAGTTGGCATTATCTTTCCCATGCTGATATCCCCAAGGCCTTACCCAAATATCTACTACTACAGTCTGCTTCACATCCTCCAATTCAAAATCTGCACAATGATATGTTAGAAACACCTCTCTCTCATTAGCTGCATTGCCCAGTACAGTTTCAGATCCTCTCTGCATCATTCGTCCGTGAAACATTTTTCTTCCCTTTGAAGTTTCAAACATGTACTCCACAAAATAGATTGCAGGAAGTTCGTAATAATCAACCTCAATAGATATAGCCTTTCCAACCACAACTACTTCTCCATGTACAAAGGCTTGTTTATAAAGAGGTTCACCAGAGCTTGTTTTGCTTACAGGCTCTCCATTCCATCTTACTTCCTCCTTGGAACACTGTCTAGATTGCCTTGATACAGAAGGAGACTTCTGAATCTCCTTTGAATTTGATTTATCTTCTTCAGCATCAGCACAATCACCAGAACCAGCATTAGCGTCAGCATCAGCATCAGCATCAGCATCATCATCTTCATTTTCCTCTTCTTCCTGATTTTCATCTTCATCTTTCACCTCACAGTTAGCTTCATCCTTCAAATCTTCTGGCATGTAGTTTGAATAGAATTCACCCCATATTCTGTTGATAAGCCTTGTTGTGGTTGCCTGCATAGCCTTTCTTTTAGAAACTACAGGCATCATGGCTGCTCGTGGATTCAGATTTGGTTCACTTGTGTGTACAACTTTCTTCTTCTTCACTAACCATTTTGTTTGGTGTCTCTCCTCCATTTTATTGGCAAGGCCAACCACAAATGCACACTTCTTAATCTTCTCATCAGGAAACTCTGCAAAGAGTTGTAGTATTATCTGTCAATGCACAACAATATATCTTTCAACAGCTGCTGGATCAGTAGATATAAAAGCACGATTATCCTTCTTTAACTCGGACACTCTCCTGATGACATCATTGAAAGAGAGGCGTGATACTCGGCTTTGCTCCTTCAACAATGCAATAATGCTTATCGCAACCCTTGCAGTTTTGAGTACTGGTTCATACCAAGGAAGATACTGCTTTGATGGTTTTCCAAGTCTATACCTGGAAAAGAGAGAGAGAGAGAAAATTAAAGGTCATTATGATTAAAATTAATGATTTAATGAAGATTTTTTTTTTGGAGATTTTGCATATTAGTAGGCAATTTTAAAAAACTATATTTTTTCTATCACTTTTATAGTTATTTCTCTGCAAGCATTGTAGATCAAACATTGGTTAGGGGGAAATTATAGCAGCTGGTGAATCCTTATGTAAAAACATAAGACAATACCGGGCCATGTCTG